TTTATTTGTAATAAAGCCATTATATTTTGAGTTAGATAATTAGGCTGATAATAATTAATTGAGAAATTAAATAATTTGGGAATTGATTAAATTTATATTAATTTTTTTTTTTTTAAATACTCTTATGTTCTTTGATTCTTCCTGAAGTATTACAATTTCTTAATTCTAAATGTTTGATTTAAAAATTATCAAATCTATATAAACTAAGTCTTGTCATTCTATTTCAAAATAAAATTATATGGTTAGGTACAATGTATACAGTACATATTTTTAAACATCCCCGAGCCTCCAATAGAGATAAACCTAATATATCATACAAATTAAAAAAGTTGGTTTTTGTAAATTTCTCAAAATTAAATCATAATTTACCGATCATCATTTTCAAATTCATTATTGCTTTGAATTCGTTTAGTAATTATTCGATTAATTTTTTTTCGAGGTCATATATCGTTCTCAATTCTCTACATTATATTATGTACATCTAGTTTACCTTAACAAGTAATTAATTGGCTGATTATGTTTGCAAGAAGGATATAATTTAAGCCAATTTTGACCCCTGTGTTGCATTATTTAATTTACAAAATTACCTAGATTCCACAGAGAATTTGTATGAAAATTATGATTAAAATAAATATAAAATAAAACAAAATAAAATTGAGTGAAAATTATCGACAACAGCAACCTATTCTTCCTAAAAAAAAAAAAAAATTCATCCATGCTTCAAGTATAATATGTTTTGTATTCTAGATTTGTTTTAGAGTAGATTCGATAAATAGTTTCTTTATGGTTAAATAAGAGTATACAATAATGTAATCTTCTAATGGTGATAATTTAATAATTTGAAAAGAAAATTTGGTTTGATTTATATTGTAGATTTACCGAATGTTTTTAAGCTATGGCTAGTCCTGTATAGCAAAAAATCAAATAATTTAAAGTTTGGATAGTAAAAAAATAAAAATAAATAAATATAAACAATTATGTTAGTACATAAAATACTTATATAATTCAAATGCAATTTTTTCAAATTAACTAAATTGAATGTTTTAAAATAATTTAGGGAATACTGTTTAAATTGATATTAAGAGTTTTCGTTTTATAAAATTAATTTTTCAGTAGACGTGACTATAATCACGGTTGACATGTTTATTTAACATTTTTTTAAACGTGTTATATTTATTTTAATTCTCTTAAAATTCGTAAACATAATAACTTATTCTATGAATCGTCGGTATTCATTATAAGCAACAGACAAACCAATTATAACAATCACTGTTTTTTTGGTTATTTTTTAATACAATTTTAAATACAAAAATGTATATGAGAATGATTATATTTTAAATTACAATGAGTTACGATTATTATTTATATAATGGAAAAGTTGTGTTGCAATGTTTAATTTCGTGACACTTTTTAACTCTACGCTATTTATTTATTTAAAAAACTGCAACCTCTCAAAAATAAAAATAAAAAACTGTTTTAACTCTAAAAATACATATGAAGTGATTATTGCTATTATATTTTTGAAACTCTTTGCTAATAATTGATGACCCCTACCACTGATGATGCACTAATGGCTGATTGATTGTCTGTACTTGAATACTATTTGTTGAGATTCCTAAGTATTCTAAAAAATATTATCTTATTATTACTATACATAGGAAGAACTATAACTATCAGTGTATAATGAACGAATTTATTAAAAAGTTAAATATTAAGTATAATACATAGTCGTTGATAAGTTAAAGTAAATTGTTGATTTTATTATGTTTGGAAGAACTCACCTACATGAGTGAGTATATATACCTATATATATATATGTATATATTATATAGGAATTATAAACTAGAATGAATATGATGAGCAAGAAAATTATTTCATCAATTGTCTTTGTACCTTATTCTCGAATTATTGCAAAACAATAATAGCATTATGTCTACGTTAAAAATGAATACATTAGTTCTGTTTTATATCTACTAATAGTTTATATTAAAATAGAGGAAATTTATTAATCCAAGACTTGAAGTTTAAAGTGTGTGATCATTGTAGTACAAGAGAATTATATAAATATGCGTCCTATACCTTTTCGTATAATGGTGTTAAAAAATAACCGTACGATGGACTAATGAAAATTAGGTTTATCGATTCAGTTATACGGTTTTTTTCTGGATCATATACGAGTAGTTAATTCTCATCTCTGTGGTGAAAAATGTGAGGTGAAAACCAATAAATTCTACGAGATTTTTTGTTATTTTAAACGGAGAGCATTGACTTTAATGTTAACCGAATACCATTATTCATATATTTTCTTTGTCAAGTTCGTCTCGTATTCTTCATTGATATGCTTATTTTATAGGATACTTCCACAATTGGTTCATATTTATGCAGTATTAATAAACGTAAAAACCCGATGGTATAGTGTTTTGTATAAAAATACACTATAAATCCAGACTTTTTGTTGTTGCTCCATTTTTCATTTGCCTACACTATATGCTCTGGGTAGTAGGCTGTATAATAATACAATTTCGAACATTATATACGTACGTTGAGTATGTATTCAGTTCTCAATAGCAATCGTCTACCTGTACTATATATATACGAATTATATGAATTATAATTAGGGGTCTTGTTTTTGTACGTGAATATGAATGTACGTGTCCACGTATACCGTGATCACGTGAATGAAACAAAAAAAATCACGTTTGGTTAATACACGTGAATTAACCAAAGCTTAATCACGTGAACACGTATAGGAATCATATTCACGAGAAAACGTGAATTAGTATATTCACGTGAACAGGCATTTATCGAAAACTTGATTGTAAAAGAAAATAGTCATTTATAAAACAAAAAGATTTTGTTAACTTTGTTAATAATGCTTACATGGTGGTCATATATTGCATTACAAAAACTGATTTTAGGTACTGTTTATTTAGTTGTATTTTATTTGAAAATGTATTTATAATTTTACTGATTAACTTCGCGCTTATTTATCTTTATTGAACTTATTGAACTCGTAGTGCCCGTTGCGTGTGTCTTATCTGGTAGTTGGATAGGTAGTGACTATATCGATATCTTGATGATAATATGATATTAAACACTTAAGTGTACGACGCTTTTATTTTGTGTGCAATCATTAAGTGATCGTATTCATTAAAAAATTTAAGTTTTCTCGCAAAATGGTGAAAAGAAAAAGTTGGGTATGGGATTATGCCAAACGTGAAGGTGATCGCGCCTTTTGTGATTTTTGTGACAGTGAAAATAATAATGAATATTCATGTGTAGGCGGCACGACAGGTTCTTTAATAAGACATTTACAAAATTGTCGTGGTATTACCACCAGGATTAGCACCAGAAGAATCTATACGAAAGAGGTAATTAATAAATTATATTTTTAATTAGTTATTCAAATAAAATAGGTAATTGTTAATTTTCTTAAATACTCGATGTCCTAAATATTAATCTCGATGTATACAAATATAAAATAATCAAATTATCTGCTCCGAGAGATGTTTTTCTACTGCTGGAAATAGTTACTTCGAAAAGGACATGTTTACTGACTAAAAATGTAAACATGCTGATATTTTTGTATCAAAATCGAGAATTGTTGCTCTAAATATATTTTTGAGTTTAGATGGGCATCACATGGATGCAAGCTCATTATTAAATTATAAATAAGATGTCTTTTTTGTTAATTATTTTGTTTATTTATTTATTATATTTCTTAGATTATTATTTATATATACATTTTTTTATTATTACATTATCTATTTGCTTAAATTTGTTTCATGTAGTTCTATATATATTAATAAACCAAAATTATTAACGTCAATAAATAAAACAATAATTGTTAATGTTATTTACAGAGCGTACCTAAACAGTTATAGGTACTTAATGTTAGACCTAGTTTACACATGGTCATTAGTCACTACATACAAGGACCGATGGCGACGAACGTGATTATATAAAATCATGTATTCACATAATTATCCAATTCACGGATTCACGTAAATATAATAATTCACAAATTCACGTGAATAAAATAATTCACGAATTCACGTGAATAAAATTATAAATACACGTGAAATTTTAAGCAACGGGTTATAAAAATTGAACCTTTATTTCATGTGAAAACGTATGCACGTGAAATAAGGAGCTCTAATTATAATAATAATAATAATAATAATTATATTTATATTAACAGTAGTACCTAAAGAAATTGAAACTGCTAGTTCAAATAATTAGTTTTACCCACTCACCCCTTCCAATTTCCGACTCTTTCAAATACCAAAATATTATTTAAAACATCTTTAATAATTAAAGATATTATGTAATATTTAATTATTAAACATGCTATTTTAAATAGTTAATACTTGTCTACTAGTAATATTTATATTAATTAAAATTTTTATTGATGATTTTTAATTTTTTTAACATTTCAATTTTCTAATTTCTAATTTAAATTGAACTACTTATAGTACGTGTTCGGTGCCACTGTATATTATTTATATTATATTTATTTATTATTATTATTTATATTACTTTACATTTATTTATTATTGTTATTATTATATTTCAAACGTCCTTTTAGATCGGACCTATATATGATGGAGTGATATTGATTTGAAATATTTTTATATTTCCACGTGATATGTTCGATAGGGATGGATCTTGATGATCCGATACCATTGTCTTGACTTCAAATATACCGTAACCTAGTATGTAAACACGCATACACACACACACACACACACACACACACACACACATACAAATGCGTACACATTCATACGATATGCATTGGAGAAGCAGAGTGCAGAGAGAGAGAGAATTGACGACGGGCGACGATGGGGCGGCAAACGGTTTACTCCTGGCAAAACTTCTTGTCAGATTCAGGATCGATCCTCCTCCCCACCTTGGACGCCCTCTGGTCGTCATGACCTAAAGTAACCACCGCCGCCGCCGTCGGGGGATGCATTCATACGTCACCACTGCCTCCTATTTTTTCGGCCGATTCATGTGCCGTCTGGCTACCGTGCGATCTGGCCGCGTGTTCATTCGCCGTTGATGCTGCCGGTCAAGTTACGACCGTCTTCAATTTGGACGCGAGTTGTTTCCCGTTTCTATCTTTTACCGTACACACAACAAGTACGTATGATTATTTTTATTACTGAACGCGTATTGCATTATTGCACGGCACTACGTTATTATGTTTACTGTAACTTTAACAAGTGTACAAAGTTGAAGGGGAAAAAAAAACACCTAGTTGGTCGCGCGTGCATTGTGATTTTTAACGCTTAGAACACGTGCTCATTAATCGTAACCCACCACGTAGCAGTAATATAATTGTAATACTTTATTTTCCGATCAAAACTATCGAATGAGGTTGAAATTATTTGTAGTATTAAATTTGATTTTGCGTCAAGTTTTTATAATTTAATAAAGCGATCTAAGTATATTAGACTATTTGTTTGGAATCTTTGAAAATAATCATCACCCATCATTCAAGTTGCTCTGATAAATTAAGTTTTTATTGTAATCATCACTTCGATTTATAACTAAAAAACATACATCTATTTTTACGTAAAATTTAACGATTATAGGTGTATTTTATAACTAGTTTCTATTTAAATACATTTATATTTAAATAATGTATTAAAACATGACATATTAACTCGTGAATACAAAAGTGCATAGCGTTTAGCATAAGTTAATTTTATCACAGATTAGAATTACACCATAGTAATTGAATAGTAAGGTGTTTTTAATAGCACCTGTCAATGCCGTAACATAAAATTATTAACACATAACTATATATATATATATATAAATTAGGTTAATAAATAATTGTAATTTAGTTTGATTAGTTTGAAATAGAAAATTCACTATCTTCTATTTATTATCTTATTATGAGTTATTCTATAAAAATTTATTTGGAAATTGTTGTTATAGGAGATTAAAACTTAAACAAATTATCGTCTTCAGTTGTGTGATATACGAGTACCTACATTATGGAAGATTGTTTGAAAACTTTTTGATCAAGTCATTGGAAACTGCTTTAGAATTGATAAAAGTCTATAAATCTTTAATCGGATATTGATGTTTAAAGTAGAGTTTTTGTTTTGAATCCAAAGTATTATGTCTTTTACGCCCAACGAAAATATATATTTTGAGGAACTATCACGTAGGTGCCAACATTACTAATGATTCAATCCCTGTTTTTATTTAAGTTAATATTCATGTTGTGTAGTATGAAGTCTTAAATGTAACTATCCAAAAAAAAGTGTAACATATGATAACTTACTAATTTTTAAGTAACATGATTATCGATCATACCGATAAAAGTATAGCATTTTTTATTATTAATAATTTTCAGTCCATTTATAATATTCAAATATGTTAGAGAAATTGTATAGAGTTTGTCATACTGCATTTGGAATAATCTCAATTAACTGATTAATCTGTTCATGATATATGAATATTATATTATTTTTAGCTTTGAAATTTAATGAAAATTACCAAAAGTTAAGCGTTTAGTTAAATACGAGTATATTACGCTTATTAATTAAAATAAATAACTTTATTTTTATTTTTATTTTCAAGTTGGGGTGACAGGTCATTTAACAGGTAATTTATATATAAAAAAGGCATTTAAACATTGCATATAAACTATAGATAACACAACAATACCTGTATATAAATTAATCAAAAAGTCAACTGTTATCTAATATAACTATATAACATAACTGGTATAAAGTAAAATAAAATAAAATATGAAATAATGTACTAAATAGATAATGGTAATAATATTAATGGTAACAATGGGTGATATATAAAGTGTGTTTAAATTTTGTCGTTCCAAAATTCTGCAATCTTTATAGTCTTGTTATTTGTGGCTTGTAAGTCTAATACGTCACATTTGATTGGATATCCGTTGTAATTTAGTAGGTGTGACATTGTCTGGATTTCTCCGCATACACAGCTTGTGGAAGGAAGACGACTAATCCAACCTAAGCATATCTTATTTACCATTTTTTTAGGTTCTCCCTCGAAAGTCCAACTTCTGTACGTAAGCGATATAGTGTCTTCCAGACCATCAATTTGTTATTATGTCCTAGGGGTAACTTTTCTTCGACTTTCTGCTAACCCTCTTCCTTTCATAACTTTAATCTTGCTGTCTGTGGGTTATCATCTAATTTATTCGTGAATTTTTGGAAGCTCTTTCTTGATTTTAGTCAAAAACCTTCAACCTTTGTATTATATATTGAGTGCCTTTCATTTCAGATTTCTAGATGCTAGTCTGTTCTTCAAATGGAATACACATATTTGAGTCTTCATTGGGTTAGGTTTCAGCTTCATGCTTTATAGTAGGTTAACATGGTTTTAATTAAGGCCTATAGTTTAGTTTATACTCCTTTAAAATCGTTATCTTTAACTGCTATGGCTGTATCATCGATATAGATTAAATGTTTAGCACCTGAAGTGACCGGTTGATCGTTCGTATATATTTATTAAAAATGGTTGGGGTCAGTACACTGCCTTGTGGAAGACCATTTTTTTTGCTTCCTGGTTTCACGTAAAATCATCTATGTTGGAATAGTGCCTTTATAATTTGCACAAAACCTTTGTCATTAGTTAGGTTGTAGATTTTACCTAATAAAATCCTATGGCTGATCATATTATAGGCTGCTGTCAGATCTATAAGGGCTACTCCAGTGATATTTCTCTTTTCGAAACCGTTTTCAATAAACTGGGTCATATTTAGTATCTGCCCTGTGCATGATTTAATTTTCCTGAAGCTTGCTTGTTCTTGTATCAATTTTTCGTCAATATATCCTATTATGCGATTGTGAAACATTTTTACAAAAGCTATGTATAAGTGACACAGAAGCAATACCGGCTGGAAGTTTTTGGGATATGTTGGTTCTTTACCGGGTTTTAAAAGAGTTATTATATGAGCTTTTCTCCATATTTTGGGCAATTTGTAAGTATATCTGATTTAATAAAATACCTTTAGAATTCATTATTTGGTCTTAAGACCAAATTCTTTTATTTGCTCTACATATATATATATCGTGCAGTTCAGCGGCTTTCCTATTTTTAAGAATATTTATGGCTTCATTTAATTCTTTCGTGTTGAATTGTTCTTTGACGTGCCCATCTTCTTCATTTTCAGTCGTGTGTTTTACTTGGCTCTTTTGTGATTTGTTTCTCTCTGACCTTTTCCGATTAAGAGAAGTTGGTGCGCAATTTGATCTAGTGTACTTATGTTTTGTGAATTCTTTTGTTTTGGATTGTTATTTAGTTTCTTCATTTAGCCCCATGTCTTTTAGCGACTGTGTTTCATATCTATGCTTTCTACTAAATTTATCTAATTTGCTCTCCTTTCTGTACCTATTGCTTCTTGTAAATATTCACCTTTATTTATGGTTTCATATCCAAAAGGGTCTTTCTCATACATTTCGGTGTATAATGTATGCGTTTTGTTAGCTCTGAGGGGAGGCCCGTTATATATTCTGTTCTCCAGTCCATTGGGATATGATTTCTCGATACTCCTTTAACTAATAATAGTCTCGTAATTTTTCGTGGTTGGTGCAAGGTTTGTGAACTCTGAATCCAGTTATATTTTAAAATTATTCCAATAAACCTTTCTGAAATTAAATATTATTTTCATTGACACTATAGTGGGTTTAATGGTGTCATTTATTGAACATACAATTGGACGATGTTGGGAGGCGTGGGATTGGTCTTGCTACTGTCTTGATACACTGCTGTTGTATGTTTTTATTGACCATGATCAAATTTGGGTTATACCCCCTTTTCCGCCGTTATGTATCCTTTCCTGGATACATATAATATCATATAGTGTTTCCATACATATATTTGCAAGGAGTATTTCTTTGTTACTAGTCAAACCCTCAATATTTATCAAGGTTATCGTCAGGGCTGGCTCTAAGAAAGGCCTTTTTGTAATTGACTTTGTTTGGTATTTATCATGTTTGGTCTATAAGACTCGAGCCCCGCGGTGAAAAGATTAGAGAAAGAATCACTAAATCGTTGCCTAGGTGTACCGCGTAGAGGTTTTTTCCTGACACCCAAAATAAATACCTAATTTAAAATAAATAAATTAAAAAATAAATAATTGATAAATAAATTTAAATAACTAATTTAAAGTTTCATGTTTTTGTAATAAACGTTAATGTTATGGAATGTGACTTATTACTAGAAATAAATATAATGAAACAGTTATTGACTTTTTACAAAAAATATAAAAATATAGGAAAAAAAATTAGAAATTATAGAATCTTGTTTTATATAATGAATTTTAATGTCATATACATTCCATTATTTAAAATTTTATAATTGACAAAATTAAAAAATGCTAATTTTAAAAATCGGAAAAATGAGGATTGCTTTATTATTCAGATTTCATACGTTTTATAGAAATTATAAATGCATTTTAAACATACAAATCTAAATTTAAAACAAAATTTACTAGATAGAGAAAAATAGCATGTTGCACTTGTGTAATCACAATTTAGATATTTAATTTGTATTAATTATAAAAATATAAACATAATATTATCAATAACAGCCCGGTAAAATAAATTCATAGTTTTTCACAAAATTATAATGTTTTGGGGTAAATTCAATTTATAAAAATACCATCGTTAGATATATTTTATAATTTTCCGTTATTTTTTTTATTTTTATTATTATCATGCCCGGTATGCATAATTTAAAAATATACAATTTATGACAATATTTATTATTATTTGATGATAATGTTAAGTACATTACAAAAAATATTTAAAATAAAAAAACAACTATAAAAATAATGAATGTTGGAGATATATCATGAACATAATAGAAAAAATATAATATCCAATTTTTTATACCAAGTTAATTTTAATATCTATAGAATAATTATCGATTGAAAATATTTGTATATTAAAAACAATACTTTCTTTATGATTTAGTAAGAAATTTAATGCATGGTATTAATCATATTTCATTATTCGAGAAAATAGTAGGATAAAAAAAAATAAATAAATAAATAAATAATAAATAATAAATAATAGTATGTTCTAAACGTTTCATACAGGTATTTATTTTAGAAAATGTACATTTAATCCATATTACACTTT